AGCAACCAACTAAATAGGGCAAACAAAGGAGAAAAAGGAGTAAACAACAGCAGGTAAATAACATGTCAATCGTAAGTTAATACATCTCAATTCTAGCCATCAATGTAAATGGACTCAATTCACCAATTAAGAGAAATAGACTGGCACAGTGGATTGGGAAACAAAATCCAACAATATGCTGTATACAAGAAACACATTTAATTCATAAAGACATTTATAGACTGAAAGTCAAAGGATAGAAAAGAATACTACATGCCCCAGCACCTCAGAAAAAAGCAGGGGTAGAAATCCTGTTCTCAGACAGTCTCAACTTCAAACCAACAATGATCAAGTGAAATAAAGAAGGCCACTATATTCTGGTTAGGGGGAAAATACAAGGGAAGAGGTAACACTCATAAATATGAATGCACCAAACAAGCGAGCACCCAACTATATAAAACAAATCTTAATGGACATGAAAAATCTGATATCAAATAAACTACGAAACCTCCAGTAACTGTAAGCTAAATAAACCTTCCCTTCCCTAAGCTTGAGTGTTGAGTATGTGTCCCAGCAATGAGAGAAGAGTGACTAAGACACCATCCCTCATGGTCTTCACCCCAGGAAGAGATCCAGCCACTGGGCTGTGGATCCAAGGACAGCAGCAGCAAGAGGGCTCCACGTCGCTGTTGTCTGACTCTTACACAGGTGCTTGTCCCCCATTTACATTCCTCCGTGTTGACCAAACTAGCCCATGCATTGCTGTGTACTGCTAAGTCACCTTGTACTAGTGGTCCCCAGCCTGAGCTTCTGACTGACAACTGGGTCCTGTCCTCCAAGTTGCCTAGAGCCATCCCTACCTACCCCTGAGCCTTGAAACCTGCAGGAGTCTGTCGAATGGTACCCCACGCCAAGGGTAGCCTTGAACCCACCAGCTCAGGCTGGCCTCAAGTTCACAGTGGTCCTCCTGCCTCAGCCCCACTAGTGCTGGGATTAGAGATGTGTAACCTACACCTGATTTTGATGGTAATATATTTTCAACCACTATCTCAGGCTTCTTCCATTGACAGAACCATCTCAAAGTTTAATAAGCCACTAAACAAATTAAAATTTACTTTAATTGCATTAAAGACTGGCGTATGTTATCAGTTGGGGCCGAAATAAATGATGGAAAGACTGGATTAATATAGGCTCAGAGGTCTCACTAAGCTTAGTCTCCCTCTAAGTGAGCCACCGAAACGTCTAACATTTATTGAGGGGTACAAACAGGCTAAGGATGCACATAACTAATTTGGTGTCCGCAAGCCGTTATTTCCATGGCTTTCTGGCATTCATCAAACTCTTAAGTTTATAGATCACTATGTGGTAACTTCCCAGGTAAAGGAACAAAGAGCAGGCAGGGTGCTGCCTCCAGGACTCTGTCGCCTTGTCTCCTGCTTGCTGGAATTACAAGGGGCCAGTTTCCTCAGGCTCTGTTTTTTGTGCCTTGCTCCCTCAGGACAGTAAATTTCTGATTCATATCACTACAAGAGACCACATGTATCCTTCTTAAGTGGATAATAGCAGTTGTCTGCCTACCATACCAAAGTTTATCGAAAGTCTTTGCAAAATCTTGAGGGGCAGAGGCAAGACACAGAATCCACAGAGAAAGCCCCATGAAACTTTTTCACTTGCAACTGCATAAGGAAAATGCAATATGTTAGTACTGGAGATTAGTACTGGAACAAATTTAATCCTGTAATCCGCCTTGATCTATCCTCACTTAACTTTCAGCTACAGATGTCCAGTTGTTCCAGCACTGTTTATTCATAGGACTATACTTCCAGGCTAGTAAGATAGCTCAGTGGATTAAGTGCCTGCTTAGGCAAGCTAGGGACTGAGGTTCTAATCCTGGAACCACAAGCCATGCGGCCTTGCCTCCGGGTGCGGAGTGCGCTGAGATGGCGATTGAGACTGTGTGTGGTGGCGTGCACGTGTAATCCCGGCACTTGGGAGGCTGAAAATAGGACGATCACTACAATTTCAATTTATGAAGTGAGACCCTGTACTAAATACATTAAAAAAATAAGACTACACTTCCTCCACTAAGTTGTCTTTATACCTGTCAAACATCAGTGGAAGCTGGACTTGTGTCACTCACCTATTTATCGTACATCTTTGGAAGTCTGAGGCAGGAAGACTGCACCCATAAGCTCAGTCTGGGTAATTTGGCAAATTAGTGAGGCTTTAAAATATTGCAAAAGCCTTGAGTTCAATCCCTAGTACAGGGAAAAAATAAGAACTGATAAGAACTTATGTCTAGAACACAGAACAATTCACTAACAAAAATATAAATAGGCTAGGCATTGTGGTGAGACAGGAGGCAGGGCATGCAAAGCTGGTGTGGGAACAGTGGGATCTGTTAATTACAGGATCCCGGGACAGCACAAAAGATGCATATCGGGGACTTCGTGTGGATTTCTGCAAGATGGGGATGACACAGAAGGACACAGACGCCACAAAGAGCTCATATTGTACCTCTGCATGGTGTTGCAGTAAAGGCCCAGGAAAGGAGCGACACCACAGGAAGCCAGGAAGCAGTAGATGGCTTCATTTCACGCTGGTGGCCTTGGCTGGAATAACTTGCAGCAAAAGCCACGCAGCGAGGGTCCATGAGCCGGCACTCGACGTGAGGCCTGAGCAGGGGTTACCAAGGCGGGACAGGACAGCCTGGCAGTTCTCCTGATCAGCCACAAGGGTGACAGCCTTGGCCACAGGGCGAGGTGAATGACATGAGTTACAAGACGAGATTCATGACCACGAAGCTTGGCGCAGTCAGGTACCCTGAAGGCTTGGCTACTCTCTTAGGCTGCAAGGTCAAGAAAGCAGTTAGACAGCCAGAAGACATCTACAGAACTAGGCAGCGTCATAGAGAACAAAGTTCTAAAAGGAACAATCTTTCCTTGTGCCGTTCTTCCCTGTCAAAGACGCTCTGTGTCTCCTAGACCAGGGTGTACTTTTATTTTTGCTTTTTCTCCTTTCCTGTTTTGTGCATCCCAAGTTCACTTAGAAGAGCCAGTTTTCCTTACCCTTTCACCCCTTGCTTCTCAAGGAAATCAAAAGTTTGGTTTGCTTGAGAAGCAAGGGGTTCTTGGCTTTTCTCATTGAATTGTTTGAGGACAGAAGGACCTGGAATATGTTTAACAGGAAGCCATTTCTAAAAGAATTACCCTCCACCAAGAGGGCACGCCTGTAATCCCAGTGCTGAGGAGGCTGAGACAGGAGATCGGCCACAAGCTTGAGGCCAGCCTGGGTTACACAGTGGGTTCAAATTTATCTTGGACTATAAAGTAAGACCCTACCTTGACAAAACATAGAAAAAATAATAAAAATACAAATGGCAATTTTTTTTTAAATGGACAGTAGACTCCAATAAAGATGTCTCCAAAGAAGATATTTAAGTGGTGTATAGGTACCTGAAAGGCAGATGACAGCACTAGTCACTGGGGAAAAGCCAGCTGAAACCATTATGGTGCACTACTTGATGCCCACTCGGCTGGCTAGAACATAAAGGGTGACAAGTGCCAGCAAGGATGAAGAGAAAGTGGAACTTCCCATGTTGCTAGCGTGAATGTCCAACGGCGCTCCTTTGGGAAGCACCCTGGAAGTTCCCCCAAACTGTGGCGCGTAGCAGACACAGCACCACAGACTGAAACGGACTTACCTGCCATTCTCAGGGCTGGAAAGCCAAGGACAGCTGCGGGCAGCTTGGTTTTCTTCCCGAGATCTCTCCCTTGTGAGACTAGAGGAGGACTGAGGCCTAACTGGCTTGGTGTGAGCGCCAAGGAGAAAAGCGTTGTGCAGGGAGGATGGCAGCTGCGGGCTCTCGGGCAAAGTGTTTGTTCAGCTGAGATTAAGTTGCTTCCTTGGGCACGTACGAAGTGGAGACTGGAAGGCAGAGGGGCCTTGTGTCACTTGAATTACTTGTAACCCTTTCTGTGTGAACAAAAGGCAGACGAGCCCAGAGTGGCTGCAGCTCTGCTACACGAAAGGGGCCAACTGTGCCTAGCACAACAGCTAGCAGTAGTAGTCTCTGGATTTTTGAGCCATAATTAAAAATTCGTGCACATACACAGTTTATTATTAGATTCACCCCTGTATACTTTCCGGTACTCACATGGATCTGGACCTCAGATCAATTTGCAGTTCATTGTTTTTCGTGGATTTCTTGGAATAAGCACCTTTAGATAAAGAAAACTTCAGCTTCTTTCACATCACCCTCCTTTTCAGGAGCAGCAGCGGCCACGCTGCTGTCCACATGTCACCTCATTCAGTCACCCCAAAAGCCAACGCGCGCCATCATCATTTTCACTTCCAAATACGGAAGCTCAGGCAAGTTTCCCAGGCGGGGCCTGAGGAACTCGGGCTCCGGGGTTCACACCGCAGCAACGGCCACACCCCAGACGTCCGTCATCGCAGGGTCGCACCAGGGGCCTGAGCTCCGATCCGTCCCGGGTCAAGCGCAGGGGGGGTCCTCCCTCGGAGACGGGCTCGGAGGCCCCAGTCTGCGCACGCAACCGCGCTGCACCCGAGGCTGCAGGGCGCGGGAGTCCAGGCTTTCCCACACCGCAGAGGACGGACAACTCGCTTGTGGCGGCCTGGTCCTTTGCCGTAACAGGACATTTCTCCACAAGTCCTGCTGCTAAAATACTGCACAGAGATGGAGGCTTAAGGGTACGAAAACTTTTGATAGATACATTTTTACACAGCCATGCACACACTCAACGAGCCACGTCGATTCAGAACTAAACACCACACATCTCCACAGCAACCACTTCCAGACAGCGAGCATCACGGCTTGCAGAGCACCGCGCATCAGCGGCCAAGGGACTCGAACTCGTGCCATCAGTACCTCCCCGCGCGGCCTGGGAAACATCGCGGGACGCAGAATCAGAGCCCGGCGGTAGCGTCGCCGACTGGAGACTACACTTCCCAGAAGGCATCGCGGTACTACGCCATCTTCCGGCTCTAGGCGGCGAGTCCGCCCGTGCCGAGGGGAAGCAAGCCCGGGGCTGCGGAGTGCGACCGCAGTCGCACCGCGATCTAGGACCGGCAGGTGAGGGGCTCTGGGGTTTCTTGGGCGCTTCAGGATTCACGAGAGAGCGGTCACCGCGGCCTGGTGAGTTCCAAGCCCGAAGTGCAGTGGGTGGGTCAACCTCGTTTCAGTGAGCGGCTCCTAGGGCTCTGGACTACACTTCCCAGGGGCCCCACGCGACCACAGGGGCGGGGCGTACGGGTCCTCACCCCTGGACTCTCGCCTCATTTGCATGTATTTGCATGTATGCTTTTTTTTTAATCTGGAAGATTTGTTTTCTACATCTTCTTTTCTTTTTTTTCCCCCATATTTTTATTGATAAACAAATAGCAATGAGACAGTTTCAAATCAAAATGGACAGTTTCAATAATTAACACATTGCATACATTCTTCCTAGTGGTTAATTGCTGTACAAGATGCGGACATGATATCCTATTTACAAACACCATTAGAACAAATTCCTCCATTCATTAAGAGAATGTAACTATATATCTATCCTAACCACTTTGAATACACAGATACAAAATGGACATTCATCTGTATACCCTTTTTTGTTAAGTTCCGTTATTTGAATATTATAGGTGTGTAAGCTCAGCAAAATATTCTAAAAGAGTCCAGTAGCCCATAATAGTATTGGGTCTTCTGCTTTCTTGGCAATGTCAGAAATTGTTGACCTGAGTCCCCTATAGCTCAACATAACAGCATGGATTTACTTCTTATATTTCGTTTTTATATGTTTCTGCTGGATGGTTAAGACCAAGGTAAAGCAGGACCTGTGCAACTAGAGTTGTAGCTTTAGGGTCTGATAAAGTCAGTGAAATCCCCTCAGGATTTATCCTGAGATCCTGTACCTCAGATTGTAGAACCTTTGTCAGTGTCAGCCATGTGGATGAGTCATGGCCATTGCTTGACCAATTCTTCTTTTCTTTTATTGAAAAAAGTTTTAGGAAATGGTAGTAAAGGGCACACATAAATCATGCCCTTCAGAACATTTGGAGTGCTGGTTTGGTGTTCATGGATTTCCTCAGGTGTCCTTTGTCATGGAAATATCTTATATCAATTTTGAAAGATAGTTTTGCAGTGTACATCAAACAGGGTTAGAAGTTGTTTTCTTGTAGGAATTGAAACACTCCACGAGCTCCTTGACTTGAGAAGTCAGCTGTGTCTGATGATGGGCTTTGTAGCAGATTTGTTTCTTTTCTCTAATACCTATAAATATTCTGTTCTTGTGCTCAATTTCTGGAGTCTTGACTGTTATATGCCTTAGTATACTAACACTTGTTTTATGAAGTCCTCCAAGAGTCGCAAGACCCCAGAGGACTTAGAACCACTAGTTTAGAAGCAGAGGTTATCCCTGGGGATATTTTAGTTGATCTTGCTGAAGTTGTATGCTCAGAAGTGGAGCAAATGAGTGAATCTCCGGCTCTTCGTGTAGAAGGATACAGTAGTGCTTGTAAAAATGGTCACTATAAGAAAAATCTTCCTCTGGTGTTTTTAATTTTTATTGATTTATTTTATTTATTTATTTATTTATTTATTTATTTTTTGTGGTACCAGAGATCAAACTCAGGATCTTGTGCTTGCCAGGCAAGTGCTTATTCTACTGCGCTATCTCCTCAGCCCTCTTCCTGTGGTGTTGTATTAAGCAACAGTCATACATATATACGTTAGAGTGAAATATTTGTCATGTGCCAGGCACTGTCCTGTACTCCCTTACAAAATAATACTCATTTAGTGATGACTCGAGGAGTGTTTAAATGATAACACGTGAATTGCTTGCTTTCTGTTAAGTTGGTTGTGTGTGTGTGTGTGTGTGTGTGTTTTGAGCCCGTGTTTCAGTGGGTAGGTGGGTTTGACTTTTGTTGGATGAATGTTCTAGTATTTTGCAAAGGCTACAGTTATAAGTGCCTTTTCTTGACGTGTACTGCTGCCTAGAGTCCATTTTGGTAGTTGTGCAGTGTTTCATCTGAGGTACTCATTTTGGGTTGTGATCTCAAGAAGCTGTGCTGTGTGTAGCGTTGTGCACTGCACTACCCGTATAGGAGAGCACTCCATGCTGAGAATGGAGTCCCGGACCTGTCCTCTTTACCTTCCCAGATTGTCCCCTGCAACACCACTGCATGGTAGGCCCTAGAGGTGGTGTCCACAAGGCCTGAGACTGGGCTGTGGAGCTCTGGCAATGTGGAAGTTGGGGAAAGATCCTGGTGCACTTCTGAGGCTGTTGCCCGTTAAATGGCTTGGTCGTGGGCAGGCTTGTACTTAGGCGTGGAGCTCTGTAAATCACGCGGGCCCTCTGTACTCCTGGCCGAGGAGAGCTTTCCTTGTCCTTGAGGCCCCAGGTGGGTCTCGGTCACCGGACCTGGTGTGAGCGTCCCAGTCTTGGGATGTGTGTCTGCAACAAGGCGGAGCCTGTGGCAGTGATTTGTGGGCAGTGAAGCAGGAAGGGCCACAGCTTCCTTGGCAGCGACTAACGCTGGTTTCCTGTAGTTGGGTGACAACTACACTTTGTCCTGACTCTCTAACTTGAGGGCTGGGTGGGGGCGTGAGGCGGGGGTTGTACCCTTGGCATTCTGGGAGCTGGGAGGCAAGCTTGCCTCTGCACGTTTCCTCTTTCTTCCTCCAGCTCTGCCATTTATGATTCAGCCCATCCCCACGAGAGGAACCTGGACGAGAACCCACCTGCGCTTGAGATTCTAAAAGTCATGTCCCTCGTGAGTTTTAAAATCATGTAAATATTTGTTTTCCTTATCCTGAAACTTCCCACCTGGGTTCCATCTATTAGTTTGGCTCTCAGAGGTCTCAGTTTTAGGGAATAAAAGGAACAGACAGACAGCTAGCCCCCCTCCCGTTGGCTCTGCTGACACATGCCTATGGATCTATGGGCCAGGTGGAGTAGAAATACATTTTCTGTCTGATATGAGAGCATTCCCATGGGAAGTGACGTTAGAAGGTTTGGAAATGACGCTTGGGGCGTCACATGGAACAGCAGGGGAGCTGGAGTTGGCTGGTGTCGGCTTAGTGAGTGGCACCATGCCCTGTGTTGGAAGAGATGGGCAGTTAGGTGTAATTGAGTCCAAGCTGGGAATCCATGGGAAAGTGGGTGCCAGAGTTAAATTAATTCTAACTTGTGGTTGCAGAACATTTGATTCTGGATCACCCTCCCTGAGCTTCTGCAGCTTAAGAGCAAGAGAAGTGAGGTGCTGAGGGTGACAGGTGACCGTAGGTTAGATCATCGGCCTGCTAGGTGCAGCATCAGCTGGCAAATGCAGAGCAGTCTGAATCCAAAATTAGAGGACATCCAAGTAATTCTTTTCACGTGATAGAAAACTGTATGGTCAACAAAAGCCATCTTTCCTGATTTCACTCCTGAAGAAGAAAAGGTTGGCAGCCTCCTGGGAGGAACGGTCTGTAATCCCAGCACTCAGGGAGGCTGCTGAGGCAATAGGGTGACAGGTTCAAGCCCAGCCCCGGCAATCAGCAACGTAGGGGGGCCTTCTGAACAGATAGGCAGGTAGGTAGGAAGATGGATAAAATGCAAGAAAGAAAACTAGAGAAATAAAGAAAAGCAAGCGAGCAAGCAGCCAGGGAATATAGCTCGGTGCACAGACCCTGACCACACACACACACACACACACACACACACACACACACACACACACAGAATAGAAGAACTATAAAGAAGTATCAGATCTGTGTTGATACAACAGTGAACATAGGTCTTCAAGGACTTCTTGATTTACGTGGAAGTCCTGTTTCTGAGATCTTCCGAAGTTTCTCTGAACACAATATTTGGGGGAAGCCCGTCCAGTGTCTCTTTTGCTCGGCGTTCCAGGAAGGCAGAAGTGACAGGCGTCCCTTAGCCGAGAGGTGCCCGTGCGCAGCGCGGCGGGCAGCACCTTTCCTTATGCTGCTCCGTTCTGTAGGAGAGGTGGCTTAGTGTTCTCATCTCCACTGCAGGCCTGCGACAGCAGCTCTGACGTGCTTGTCGCTCGTGCCCTGTGTTGCAGGGGCCAGCACTGTTCAGGGATGTGGCCGTCGTCTTCTCCCAGGAGGAGTGGGAGCGGCTGGCGCCTGCGCAGAGGGAGCTGTACAGGCATGTGATGCTGGAGACGTACCGCAACCTGGTTTCACTGGGTAAGGTGGCGGGTCTGCTAGTGTGGAGCTGTTGGGCCACGTCTGTTCCCTCCTGCATGTCTGTCCCTGCTGTCCTGCACGGTGGTGACCAGTCAGTGGCCAGAGGGCGGCCCGCTGGCCGAGGCTCCAGCCCTTCCTGCAGCTGCGCACCTGCTCGGGGGCAAGCCCTGGAACGAGCTCTGCGCCCACCGCAGTGTAACCGGTGGTGTTGGCATCTGCAGGTCTTGCTGCATCCAAGCCTGGTGTGATCTCCTGTCTGGAGCAAGGCAGAGCGCCCTGGGTGGAGGAGACGGTGACAGCAGGCGGCCCATGCCCGGGTGAGTGAAGCATCGGGGCAGCGCAGCGGCCCCTGCCGCCACAGGGCGGCGAGGAGCGGACCCTCGCGGGAGGAAGTCTTCCTCCGGCTGCCGGGCCCAGGAGTCCTGTCTTCGTTATCACCTTCTTTAGCTGATCTGTAGCATCTATTTATTTATTCAGGTACTGGGACTCGAACTCAGGACCTCACGCTTACCAGGCAGGCGCGGTGCCACTGAGCCGTATCCCTTGCCCTGATCAGTAACACTTAGCAAAGGTAGTTGCTGCTTCCTGTAAGGAAAGGCGGGAGGCAGGGGCTGGCTGGACCCCCAGGCTTGTGTAAAGACAAGTGGCATGGAATTTACTGTGCCTGAGTGCAGGCAGGCAGAGGGTGAGAGGCCGTCTGTCTGGCACAGAGAACCGGGCTTTTGTTTTGTAGGGCTTGAGAGAAGGCAGGGAACGTCGGGCGGGAACATCTTCGGACGCCTCAATGGTCAGAGTTCTCTGGCCGCCTTGAGCCTTGCATCTCTAAAACGACCGGTGGTGTTGAACATTTTTTCACGTATTTGTCATTGCTGTTTCATCAGTTCAGATGGCCAGTTTTGGATTGGGTCTTCAAACTTGGGGTGCGGGGAGGATCAGATTTTTTTTTTTTTTTTTTTTTTTTTTTTTTTCTAGATAATGACCCTGTGTCTGAGGAATGAGTAGCAAAACATGATTTCCCACGCTGTGCATTGTCTCTTCACTCTGTTGGTGATTTGTCTTGCTGTGCAAAAGCCTCTTAATAAGATGAGATCCCAGGTGTTGATTCTGCGACACTTCCTGTGCTACTGGGGTTTTGCTTATAAAGCTTTGGCCTTCGCCAGTGTGTTGAAGAGTTCTGCCTATGTGCCCTTCCAGCAGATTTAATGTTTCTAATATTTAGATACTTGATCCGTTTTGATCTTAGTTTAATGCACGGTGGAAGATAAAATTAAAACTAATTTTTGTTTTCAGCGTGTGGAAAGCTAGGTTTTCCAGCACGAGTTGTTAAAGAAGCTTTTTTCCGGGGAAGATGTTTGGCGCCTTGGTTAAAGGTGAGGTGGCGGGGTGTCCTGGAGCGGTGTCTGCGTCTTCTGGTCTGCTCCTCTGACCCTCACGTCTGTTCGTTTTTCCCCCAGTTCTATGCTGTTTTCTCAGTACTTTTGCAGTATAATTTCAGGTCAGGGATTGTGACGCCCCCCACGTTGCCTTTATTGCCTAGAATTGCCTTTGCTATTCTAGGTCTCTCCTGGTTCCAAATCAATTTTAGGATTGTTTTCCCTAATTCTGTGAGATATGCTGTTGGAATTTTGATCAGAATTGCATTTAGTCTACATAATAAAGTTGTCTTGTCTTTTAAAGGAATTTGGTACTGGGTGTCACTGTGTAGCTCGGACTCAGTGATCCTTCTGTCTTTAGCCTCCTCCGTGCTGGGATTATAGGTGTGCACCACCACGCCGGTGTTGGTGGCTGGCTCAGGGCCGGGAGGATCACTACGAGTCTGAACTGCATAGCAAGACCCTGCACCAAATAAATACATTTTTTTAAAAAATGTGTTTTATACATTTGGGTGTACGGTATTTGGTGCATATATGTTTATTACTATCTCTTCCTCTTGGATCGTTCCTTTTACAAGGATATAGAGACCTTCCGTGTCTCTCTTCAGAGGCGTTGCCTTGACATTCAGTTCATCTGCAAATAAAATAGCTTCCCCTGTTTTCCTTCTGGGTTCCCGTTGCATGGAGAGTTGTTTTTCACTCTTGGACTTTCGGGCTATGAATTTTCTTTGAATTAAATGTGTTTCTTGTAGACAGCATATTTGTGGGGTATGGCTTCCGCGTTCATCCCGCCCGTCTGTTTCTTCTGATTGGTGGATCGAGCTGATTAGCCTTGAGGGTTCCGACTGATGCGTTTGGCCTATCCTTGTCACGTCATTTTCTTGTTGCTGGCTCTGTGTTTTCCCCTCTGCTTACTTGTTCCCCTTCTCTGGTGGATTCATTCTGCTGGGTTCATGGAGCTGTAGTCCTTTTTATCACTTTTTAGAACGTCCTTCAGGTCACTTCGGAGTGCTGGTTTGGTGGTCATGGATTTCTCTGGCGTCCTCCGTCATGGAGGTATCTTATTTCTCCATCCGTTTTGAAAGGTGTTTGTAGGATACATCGGTCTGGATCAGGGGGTTTTCTTTTAGGGCTTGAAGTTCTTCACTCTAAGCTCTCCTTGCCTTGAAGGTTTGTGTTGAGAAGTCCGCTGTGATTCTGATGGGCTTTCTCTCATAGGTGATTTGTTTCTCTAATAAGTTTTGATATTCTGTACTTCTCTGAATTTCTGAATCTTGACAATTATATGCCTTGCTGATTTTAGCATGGCTCACTGGAGCCGTGGACGCCTCACTCATCTGTGTGTCAAACTCTGTTTCCCTGCCAGGGAAGTTTTCTGCCATGACATCTGTGAACAGTGTTTTGATTTTATTTTTAATATCATTTGTGCCATTTCCTGCTTTTTCCTCGGCTCCAGTCAGTCTTATGTTAGTCTTCTTTGTGTCCTTTCGCAGCTGCTGGATTGGTGTCTCATGGTCCCTTGCTATTTTGAGGAAATCTTTCTTTTCAGGATAGCTCATCCCAAGCCTGTCTTCTGTCCTGAGAGTCTGTCCTCACGTTGGCTCATTCTGCTGCACACACGTTCAGATTGCTAATCTCTTGGGATATATGTTTGAATCTGTTTGATGGATTCCGTTTCTTTCCTGTTTCCCAGCTTTTTCCTGAGGTCCTCTTTCTTAATTTTTATCTACTCTAAACTCACTAAGCGTGTTTGTCACTGTGGCCACTGGCCCTGTAGTTATGATCCGTAATCAGTTGCTTTGTTGTTGCCACTTTAAAGAGGCTAAGTGGGCGGCTCTCAGACTGTCCCGTTTCTCTGTCCCCAGGGTTTGCCTTGGGCGGACTGGATTAATGGAGCTGTGTCTTTTTTAAGTGTCTTTTCCCTTCTTTTCTTTCTTAAAATTTTTTAAATTTAACTCCTGGGTTGATTCTTGTGAATTGCTTCTGGTGAGTAGCTTTAGTGCCGGTGTCTAGAACCCTTAAGGACGACTACTTGGCAGAGGTGTCTTCCAGGTGTAGCTGCCTTTTGGCTCTTGATCCTGCTTCAGGACCCTAACTTTTCGGTTTAGTGGGGATGAAACGCTGCTGCCTGCTTGGCCCAGCCCCTGGTTCCTCGGCACTGGCCCACAGTATTCTGTGACCCTTAGGAAATCTTGGTCGTGGTTTATAAGGAAGAATAGCTGGTTAGAACAGTGATGGCACTTTTGCTAAACTAGTACAATCAGCAGTAGCAGAAGCATCACAGACAGCCTCGAAAAGGAAAAGTGGAGGTGACCTTCACGTTTTTACTGCTAGCCATGTGAATTAGGTTTGTGGCTACCTAACAAAATCTGAAGCAAACCAGAAAATTGTATGCCAACTTTACCTTTGGGTTAGGGGGGAAATGGGAGAAATAGAGGAAGAGGAAGAGATTAGAAGCAAGACTAGAAGGTAAAGGAGGATTATGCAAATTTTGGGAACCTGTTCCAGAAGAGAGGAGGGAAAGACAGAAGGAAGAAATAAAAGGAGAACCACAAAAAACTACTTTTTTTTTTTTTTTAATATATTTAGTACAGGGTCTACAGGGTCTCACTATGTGGCTCGGACTCGTAATGATCCTCCTGTTTTCAGCCTCCAAAGTGCTCGGATTACTGGCCTGTGCTACCACGCCCAGTCTTAGTTGCCACATCAGCATGCCCCGGAGAGGGGGACCGCACAGAATGGCATGGCACGCCAGGGATTGGGCCCCAGCCTCTGCACTCTGTCTAAGCAGGCATGTAATCTGCTGAGCTATTTGGCCAGCCCCACAAAAAGTAGAAAACATGTTAACACGCATATATAATCAAGATCAAGCAATGAGAGATAGAGAAAACAAAAAAAGAGAGAGATTAAAAAAATTCTGTGCTGCCGCTGGTAGACAAGGTATGGAGACAGAATCCAGATCAGGGTTGATTTGTCGGAGCAAGCCAGGAGTAGTTTTCTCCCGGGGTAGTTAGCCATCTCAGTGGGCCTGTGCCTTGGTTTCCCCTGAAGCTCAGGCTGGCGTAGAGCCATGAGGCTGGATCCACACGTTCTGCCTGCAGCGGGCCGTGTCCTTCTATGGGCTTGAGCTGGGCCGGGAGCCCCCCAACAGAGCCAGCGGTGGTTCTGGCTCAGGGCTCAGCTGGCCCCTCTCCAAGATGGCTCCCAGCCAGCCGCCCTCTCCCGGGCCAGCCAGATCCGTGCCACCCACCAGCCGCGCAGCTCGCAGTGTCCACCGCTCCTCCCCTGCCTGGTCCTTCCGTGCAGCCCTGTGGGACTGCCAGCAGGCAGCGTGAGACTGCGGGCTTGACCTGCCCACCCCGGGCGGAGGGTCCTGGCCCAGTGAGGAAGCGCGGCCCACCGCCTCCTCCTTGTTTGCTCTCCACGTGGGCTTCAGTTCTTTCTTTAGGTCCTTCTTGGCCCCGGGGGATGCTCTCCTTCCTTCTCCTCTTCTTTGATTACTGTATTTCATTGTCTGGACACCATATCTGGGAGAGGCCTTCTCTCTGCCTCGCACCACTCCGCCGCCTTCCCAGAAGTCCTTCCTTTTTTATATGATGTCAGGTTTCAGTATTGGGAATCCTTTCACATGGGCTTCTGGGTTTGTTGGACGTAGTCTTTTGTCTATTTTGTTGGTACATACGGGGGACTCAACTCAGGACCTTGCACTTGCCACGCAGACACACCTATGCTGCTGAGCTGTCACCCCAGCCCCATAATAGAATTTTTTAAAAGGTGTATTTGGCTGTTGCAGGGTCTCACTGTGCAGCTCAGACTCCTAGTGAGCCTCCTGCTTTCAGCCTCCCCAGCCCTGGGATTGCAGGCCTGCACCACGCGCCCAGACTGGCTGGCTCAGCCCGCCCTGGGCCCGGGCCGGCATGGAGTGCGGTGCCAGGGAGCTAACC